TCAACATCTGGAATCTGAAGGTTTTTAAATGATGGCTGTTGCTTTGATATACATTAGCTGTGTGATCACTACTACTGTTCATTGTCGTTGGGAAAACTTCTTTTAAAAGTATTTTTTCTTGTTTTCTTATTCTGGCTATTCTATTTTCTGTATCTCTGATAGGGAACAGGGAAAACTGTAAGTGTGGAACAATTCATTCCATCTCTTTCCCTGGACAGAACTGATTTTTATTTTTTGAAGTAATTAAAAAGAAGTTCATCTTAATTGAGCTGATGCCCAGGCTGATACTTCAGTTTCACTCTCTTGGACTCATTTGAAAATGGAAATCAGATAGAGCCTCACACTTTTAATTTACCTATTTACAGGGAGGGGAAAAAAATGAGCCATCTCGGCTAAAATCAAGAGGTGGAAATTTGATTGTCTGAAAATTGTTGCACCTTACATGCAAATATAAAACATAATTTTATGAAGACAGTAACAAATCACTGCAATGTAATAAAATCCTTTATCTTTCAGCTTTTCCCAGTTATATCCCGAACCAGGAGGTTTCAGGCATTTCCTACTCAGGTAAAGATAAAATGGGAGGTTGTGCAACTAATGGCGAGTATATTTTTAAGGGATACAGTCTCCGGAGCTAAATCCAGAGAAGATTCCATTATTTTGTCCCTACCCTCATTATAGATGTGTGTGAGGAAGTATGAGGGGCTGATGTTCCTGCAGCTATGGCTCCTGGGTGGGACTCCTCACCCCAGGATGTCAGTGTAGGTTTTACTCCCTCTGTGCAGTGGAGAAAATCTGAAAGTGAAATAGTCACCCAAGTGTAGATTTGTTCTGACCGGATAACAAGAGGGACTGTGATAAGGACTTGGCTGTTTAGATTAAAATGCATCGCAGGCTCTAGGAACTAGCACACATCAGTAGTAAAGGCTGTTTAAACCGTTGGGGACAGCCCAATGTTTAGATTACATTAATTCATAAATATTATACTAAATACCACTTAAATTGGACTTAAATGACTTCAAAGATAATGCATTATAATATGGCTATCCAGAGAGCACTAGTCTTTATGTTTCCCAGTAACTCAGTCTTTGCTGCCTCCTATCCTGCTAGACAGGACCAAAGTTATGAATGGATTGTCAGTTTATTTGTGTGTGTGTGTGTGTGTGTGTGTGTGTGTGTGTGTGTGTATGTGTGTGTGTATAGGCCTGGGTATGTGTGTGTGTGTGTTTGTGTGTGTATGTGTATCTTCAGTCACTGATTGCATTTGTTCTCCAGGAAATAAAAAGAAGAAAGGAGAAGTAAATTTAAAAAAATGAGAGAGAGAGAGAGGAGAAAGAGAGAGAGAGAGAGACAGAGAGACAGAGAGAGAGAAAGACAGAGAGAAGAAGTATACTAGTGGGTGACCTGTTCTCTTTTCCAAGGAAGAAAAATTCTACAAAAAGGGGCAAAATTGGCCTTTAGCTCATTTCTGCTGCTACCTGGGGAATTTGCTTCTCTCTTCTTTAATCAATAGTACAATGTCTTTCTCTTTGGAGCCTAGAAAAACAATCTTTCCCAAAGTGCCTCAAATGTAGAGAAAAGAAGATTCTGAGTTAGCCAGAGAGTTTACACTACACTGGGTTTTCTTCCTTAGGTGTTGGTTCCTTGAATTTTGATTTGGGAATATTTTTTCTTCTTTTCTTTCTCTGTCTAGCACTCAGATCCCCTTCCCTCCAATTGCTTGTTGGTGTGAAAGGGGTAAATTTACCTTTACAATAATTACCCCAGTCCACAGTTGCTTTTTGTTGCTTTCCAGTCCAACAGCCTTTCTTGAGTATGGCTGGGTTTTCTCCACAACACCCACAACTCCCTCCTCCACAGACTCCCAATTTGACTGGAGTAATTGCCTTTTAAGGTACACTCTACGCATGGCAGGTATTCCATTAACCCTTAGAACTCTTTCTTTCTTTAGTCACCTGAAATGGCAGGTGGCCAACAAATAGATACTCACCTGAAATCTCATGTATTTCTCCCCCCTCTCTCTCCTGCTTTTTTAGAAACCAATAACATACATATGCCCTCTACACTGGAGGCCAGTATCCTGTTATGTTTCTCAATTTTATCCCACTATGGTTCATTAGAAGTTAGAAATTCAAAAAGGTAAGAGCCAGAACAACAAATATGCCCTGAAACCAGCCTTAACAAAGGCATGATTCCATCCCTAGCCTCATGTTGTCAATTTAGAGATGGGGAAAATATAGCAGCCAAATGCAACCTTCATTCTTCAAACCTCATCATGATTTTTGACTTAATAGTAATTAATCACCAATAGCAAGAAAGTATTTTATAAGGTGGCTAGAGGCTTATTTTTTCAGGATTAGCTAATAAATCAGGCTGCATTACTGAAGGAGGAGTTCAAACTCTACTACTAGAGCTGAATAAAGCAGCCCTCAGACATGGTCTCATTTATTCAGCTCTCCCGGAGCTTCCAGGCACTGTTAGGGACATTGTGGCTCAACTTTGACTCTAAAAATCAGAGGGATTGAGGAGCAAGAAGTTATTATTCTAAGGAAAAATGTATGCTTAGGCTCTGAAGGGTGAGCTGCGACAAGGAGGCACCCAGCATGCCAGAACCAACGGGCCTGCCTGTCACTGACAGACAGTTTGGGAGAAGAATTATTTGGAAAATGAAGTTTTGCTTGTCCTAGGAATTCTGGATAAATATATTTGTATAGGTGCATGTATATAAACCTTCTCTATTTTTCTTAGGGGAATGATTAAAATTCTACTTCTTTACCTGAATATAAGAGATTCCAAATTACATTAGAATCATAGTGATGATATCAGCAAGGGTTTTTTGAAAAGAAACCAGGGAATAATGCTAAAGTTTATCTTCATTTGAAATAAAAAAGCAAATAAAGTGTTTCAATTGAGATTCCATAAGATGGCTAGCTCCCACAACTGTCTTTTGCCTCTAGTGGGTTATGATTTTTTTAAGTTTGAGATCTTAAATTACCACAAGAACAGACCATTAAGAATGGGCAGAGACTTCCCCACCTGTGCTGTTAATTTTTTTATTATTACTATTTTAAAATCCGGAGATCTATTAGAATGACAAAGGCTTAGTGTGATCCTGGATCTGCTTCTAAGGAGCTTGATTGGAAAGAGAAAAACTACAAAATAGGACTTGAGAGAAGGGGAGAAAGTGTTTCTTTCCCTTGAATGTTATTTCACAAACTGCATCCCCATTCCACCTTTTCAATCTCTCTTCTGCACAGACAGACATTTTCTCCATATTGGATAAAGGTTGATTTCTCTCTCCATTACAGCCCCCACCCTCACCCTACCCCCAAAACCCAGTATATTTCCATTCTGCTGTGTTTTTGTGCTACTCAACATGCCATTAACTTTAAGATTTACTCCTCAGCAGGCAAGCTGGAAGATGCTAAAGCCAATAAAAACTGCTCTCTGGGACTCCAACTATGAAGAGTTTGGAGCTCTGTTTAGTATTCGGATGGAGGGAGGGCTGGAGAAGGAGGGTGATTGTGGTAGTGAAAACCGCTGCTGCTTAGAGAGCCAGACAGTCCACGCTCTGCGCCTAATGTGCTGGAGGATCGGCTCTGTTCATAGCCCATTTGTGGCCAAGGATGAAGCTGCTTTCTATGAGGGGGTGTGTGTGTGCATTTTCATCTTTAAAACCACCAGCTCTAACACAACGTCTTGGGCAGCTCTCTGCACTGTTTATTAAAAACAGAATGTCCATACACATCCCCTACAACTTCCTTAGCCCCATGCTCCTTCCCTGCCTGGCGATCAATCTCTCTCAGAGAGCATTTAACTTGCCCACACAGCTCCAGCACCGATTAATCCCCACCGCACATCCTATACATTACTGTTAGGGAGCAGAGCACTGGGCTAATTTCGTCACCCACCAGCCACCCACACACATTCTACAACTGAACACGTTTGGGGCTCTGCCTTAAAGATAATAAAACAAGAAGAAAACAGCCAGGCTGCAGACAATTCCCATGACCACTTTCCTAAAAAGTTGTTAGGTTTTTTTAATTCTTTGATTATTCTGTCTCCCCTCCCCCAGGCACTCACTAGCAGTGATTGCTTCAAAGGAAAAATAATGTACTATAAAGCTGTCTTCGTGGTGAGTTTGGGATAAATTAGGGTACACTCTTCAGAATGCACACATTGTACACACACACACACACACACACACACACACACACACACATTTTCTCCAAAGCTCAGCTTTCCGGAAGGAAGGAGACTATCCAGGTTTCTCAGACCTCCAGACCTATACTCCACCAAGGGTATGGCTGGTTCCTTGCTAATTCTTGCCTTAGGTTTTCTTACTCCTTCTTTCAAACGTCCAAACCATCCCCTTCACCTCTCACACCACAAACCAAATTATTGAGACCCACAGCTCGACAGGAAGAGTTTACTGTTCAATTAAAAGCAAAATTTAAAAAATCTCTTTGAATTGGTCACTTTGCTCCCTTTTAGACGGTTGCGCTCCCGCTACTCTGGCCGTAAGCAGAGGGCGAGGAGACCCATCTCCTGTAGTATTTTCAGCACCACGGCGGTGGACAGCACCTCCAGTCCCCGGCCGGCCAAGCGCCCGCCTAGCGCCCGCCAGTCCGCGCTCGGCGTCCAGGGTTTGCCCGGTGCCGCCGTCCCCATCCCAATCCTTCAAGTCACCGTATCTCGAAGCCCAAGCCCCCTTTCCACCTCCTTCCTCTTTTCTTTCTCTTTCTCTTGCGAGCTCTCTGCTCACTCCTACGGCACGGTTTCGATCAGCTCTTAGCCCCCCAAACCCAGCCTTGCCCCAGCGAACAGCTCCCCACGCACCCCAGCTCTGGTCCCCGCTGCCCGAGCGCCTCCCTCGTCGGCGCCCGCCCGCGGCTCGCTCTAGCCCCGTCTCCAGCTCGTGAGCCGCCGGCTGGCGGGCCGGTCTGCCGCTCGCCCCGCTCTTTCTCCCCGGCAAAGTTGAGAGCGAAAGGTGCACTCACCTTTGTGCATGCCAGTGAACCTGTCCTTCAGAACCGTGAGCTCATAGATCTTGCCGAACTCCTCAAAGAGGGGCTTGAGGTCCTTCTCATCCAGGTTTCGGGGGATCTGCCCAATGAACAGCTTGATGGCATCGTGGTCCTTCATGGGAATGGTCGACGGGTTCCCCGGGCTGTGGCTTAATCCGTTCATGTGCCCAGCGCTGCCCGGGCTGCCGCCGAGCCCGTTGGTACTGAGGCTCGCGTTGTCAGCCTGTCCGTTTGCTAACGTGGCCATCTTTATATACATAGAGAAAATCTTCTTTCCTTTTATTCTTTCTCGCTCGCACTCTCTCGCTCCTCTCCCTCACTCGCTCGCTCGCGCTCACACACGCACACGCATACACACACTCGGGTTCTCTCCCCCTCGGTCTCTCTACACCTCGCTCTCCTCTCGTTCTATGCTCTCTCTCTCTCTCTCTCTCTCTCTCTCTCTCTCTCTCTCTCTCGTCTCGCTCTCTCCTCTCCCCTCCCTCCCCCTCCCTTCTCTCTCTTCCTCTCTCTCTCCCTCGATCTGATTGGATTTTTTTCTTTTCTTTCTTTTTCTTTTCTTTTCTTTCTTTTTTTCTTTCTTTTCTTTTTCTTTTTTTTTTTTACATTGAACAGACAGGATCTCTGTCCTTTCCGTTTAAACAGGCTGGACCGGTTCAAGTTCCCAGCCAGACCAGGGGTGGGGGCGGCGAGTGTGCGCGCGCGGAGGCGGGGAGCGCGGGGGCCCTGGAGTGGGCGCGCGGTGGGGGGAGCCGCATCGCGGCGGGCGGCGGCCGGGGGTAGGGCGGCGTGGGGCGGCGCCGGCTTCGCCGCGCCTCCCCCGTCGCGGCCCCGCCGAGAGACGGTGGTACAGTCCGAGACAGCCCCCGGCTATAAATAGCGCCAGGCGCATGGCTCTTCGGGAGGCGCTGAGATTCCGAGCCCGGCGATCGCGGGCAGCGGGTGCCTGTTAGGAACCGAGCTACGGGCCTCGTCTCTTTGGGTGGGTGGGGGGCTTCTTTTGTAATAGCAGCAGGTGCAACTTTTTGGGGGGTATTTTAAAAACATTAATGATCATTTTTGTGTGGGTTCGAGGGGGGGGCGTTATCCACCTAAGCTGTGTTCTATTAGGGCGACAGGCTGGGGAAGGAAAGCAGGGATGGCGGGCGGGGCGGCGGCGGAGGTGGAATGGGCGCTTTTTTTTTCTCCCTCCCATCTGGCTCCATTTATTTATTTATTTAGACCAGAAAAAGCGAGCCAGCTTGGAGGGAGTCCGCCCAGCGATCCGAGTGCGCATTGATCAGTGTCGAGAGAGGGGGGGGGAGCTACATAAATATATATTATGTGGATAAATCTATAGACAAGAGCTCGCGCGCTCGCGCTCTCTCCCCCTGATTCTGTGTCTGCTTTTCTTCTTCTTCGCATTCCCAACCTGCCAGAGCAGCCCCAAATTTTCTCCCTCCCACTGAGCATCTACGGCCACTCGAACCACCTGGGAGAATGGGACTGGGTGCCCAGCCATGCCCAGGGAACAGAGAGTAGAGATTTGGGTCTGTCCTCCGTCCGCCTCAGCTCGCCTTCCGAAGGCGGGAGGCAGGTGTTTTCGGTCCCGGACGACTTCCCCCGTCCCGGAGAGCAGTGGCTGGTCGGGCCAGCGGCTGGCGGGAGGAAGGTAGGAGCCGGGCATCCCAACCCGCTCACCCGCCCAGGAGGGAGGAAGATGTTGGGCGCGGTGGCCTGTGAGCCAGTGCGGGGGGGAGAGGCTTGATGTTTGCCCTCGTTCGCTTTCCGGGTGCAAATAGGAATCCCTTCCCATCTCCTCTCCCCCCCCCCGGTCCAAACGCACTGCCAAAAAAATAAAGCCCCGAAATGCTAAGCCCGGCGGTAGCTGGACCCAGACTCCCGCGGTGCGCGCTGCCGGCCGTGGCGGGTTTCGGTATCGACACCGCCAGCTCCGGAGGTGCGGGGCGGAGAGTTTTCGTCTGCGGACTGAAGCCCTGCGCTCGTGGCGCGCGGGATGCCCCGCCAGACCCGCTGGGGGCTGCAACCTGCTCGGCGCCCAGAGGGAGTGGCGGGCACCAAGAGCCGGTCGGAAGCAGTCCCACCTCTGGGGGGCGAATGTTGGTGGTGAACTTGGCTGGGGCAGCAGATTTTCATTTTCACAATGTTTACCTGCACCCCCATTATCTCCCCCATTTGCACTCCCAGCTTAGCTTTAACTCGGGTACCCCCCCTGCCCCGCCCCAACCCGACCAATTAAAATAACCTGCGGACTCTCCCCCCTCGCGGGCTTCTGTGCTGAGGGCTGGGACGGTGGCGCAGAGATGCTGGCCTCACCTAGGCAGATTCCCCAGTTGCCACTTTCAGGGTTCCAGGGTTTTTCTGTTTTTTACTCACGAATGACATCACGTTCCTAGACGACATGTTTAAAATTTTATTAAAAACAAAGCAAAGCAAAACAAAACAAGATCAAGACCCCAGCAGCCTGCAAACCCAGGCCAAGCCTGTTTGGTACAACCACAACACCGTACTTTCCAGCACCAGAGCCCTCAGAAGGCCTTGGAGGTTCGCCAACCCAGAGGCTCATAGTCTGGAGGAGGTGTGTGTGTGTGTGTGTGTGTGTGTGTGTGTGTGTGTGTGTGTGTGTGCCAGAGCCCGCCTCGCCCCTGAGGTAGGCTCCTAAACCAAAAGAGCAAGTACAATCCAGAGAACTGTGAAACTTTCATTTTCTATTTCCCCCTCTTTGCTTGCGGAGTCCTGTATACACTTGATGCGTAAATCGGTTTCCTAGGTTTACATTATCCAGTGTTTCAAGATGATCTTAAAAAAAATCACCCGAGTTGATGAAATCGAACAAAAAAATCACATAAAGATTGGGTCTGCTATGGTTGTGTGCCCTGTGCCTTGTGTTCTGAAATAAGGTGGGAATGCCCATGATTAGCACATGGGGTGTGTGTGATTCCCTGTCTTCTCAGGCTGGTATGTGATTGCGTGAATGTAGCCTGGACATGTGCACAGATCCTGCTTGTATTCACAGTGTGTGTGTGTGTGTGTGTGTGTGTGTGTGCAACTACCAGTCTGAGATTCCCTCACCCCTACCCCAGTTCATATTGTCAAAGGCTAACAGCTATCTAAAACATCCCCTTCAACATCAACCTCATCTTGCAGTACTGGTGCTTGGCTCCCAGGATCTCATAGTGAAGTGGGATATATTTTCTGTTGTAACAAGGAACTTAGAGTAATTCTTGTTAGAGGGACCTCTTTCTCTCCCTGCCTCCCATTCCTTCTAAGCAGGGCTACAAGGCTGGGAGGTGAAGGGAAGCCAACTGAGGGAGCTGGTAAAGGAGGGAGCTGCTCAGGAGAGGACTGTGGAGGTTCACTTTTGTTTTTGGTTACCACCCTAGTTACCCCTAGGCCCAAGTGGATTATTCACAGGTGTTTAATTATTCACATTATTATTAATAATAATAGCCAATACATAAATAAAAGCAGTCCCTAGACTGGAGTGAATGAGGGAGTGGGGGTTGGTTGGTAATGAAAGGTTGCCCTTGTTTTTTGTTGTTGTTTTGTTTTTCAGTTGCTCATGCTGCACACTTGGTCCTACCTCTAGAACAGCTCCACTGTGGTATCTCTCTCCAAGGCTTGGGGGAGTTCTTTTTTCTTCCATAAGCAAGATTTCTATTCTTCCCCTCTAGCACACTTGCTTTTGGCCTCTTTTACTTCTCCTCCCCTCTTAGAAAACAGAGAAGACTCTCACCTCTCAGCTTTGCGGTTGGTGTACCTTAATTTGCTCCACCTCTTTTCAGCTTGCTGGGGGCAAAAGCAGCCTGGACACCTAGGCTGTGTAAACAGCAGCCAAAGCAGCTTTTTACACTGGCACAGAACTCTTAAAGGTGCAGAGCTGCATCTTTTAGGCAGCCACAGTAGTGTTGGGGATAAAATAACACAGACAGGTGTCTTAAATGAATGCAATAAAGGAGCAAGACCCCTGAGAAAATAGTATGGAACATGGTTAAGTTGGCTCTTTGGTATCCTTGCCCTTGATATTCTAAGAAGACTTGAGTTAAAATTTTTTTAACCTTAGATCATCAAAGAGAAATGTAATTAGGGAAAGATAGGGGCAAAGTATTATTCACTGTGACATTTAAGCAGATTTAAAACTTTTTCTCCAAGTGCCACTTCATGGCCACAATTATTCCATCCACTGGAGAGAGGGAGAAGGCTGGAAAATAGAAGTGGGAGTGGAGAACAACTGCTTCTCATTTCCTGAGTCTGGAGTTTACATTTTATTGCCGAATCATCTCTGGAGGTGTCAGGAAGCCCGTGTGTGTGTGTGTGTGTGTGTGTGTGTGTGTGTGTGTGTGTGTGTAGGGTCTTGAGCTGGGCAGGGCAGGTACTCAGGCCTTACTGTTGCCTTCTGTTCTTTCACTTTTCTCAGTTATCCCAGAGCTGAGCTATGCATTAATCTCTTCCTTCTAGCACTCACAGAATCAGACTCTGCAGCCCCAACATGGTTACACATCCTCAGCATGCTGTGACTCTGCCTATGAATCTTTTCTCTCCATCAAGATGGTGAATTTGTAGAAAGCAAACCTTGTGATCTGGTCCTCTCTCCATTACCACCACTCTCACAGTGATGAGCACATGGTAGGTGTGCAGGCTGCAGTTCACAGGTATCATTAAGACACTCTGATAAAGGGAGGTAGCCAGTGGTGTATACATTTATCTAGGCATTAAGGATAGGAACTGTAGCCCTAGGCTGACACTCCCTGGAAAGGAGTTGGGGGCTCATGCATGAGAACGGGCTGTTCAGGGCCCACACAGTAGCTCAGCTTCCCAAGTTTACACTGCTGGGCTTGGAGGCATCACCACCCAGTCATCCTTGCATTTATCTAATCCTTCTGATCTCTCACAAGAAGCAGAAAGAGGACAGGACTGCAAAGAACTCACTGTCTAGAGAGACCAAAGTCATACCAAGTGAAAAGCCCCAGAACAGCAAACAGCAACAGATGGCTAAATGTCTTCCAGGCCTGAGCATTTCCACATAGAAGAAAATGGAGAGCAAATAGGAAACAATCCAACTTGGGAGTGATGATATGTGAGGTGAGTGATGGCCTTGAGGAAAGAGAGAAAATTGTGAAGGCAGGATGCAGAAGGTGTTTGGCTGCCAGAGAGCTGGCTGATGGCCTGGACTTGGTCTAGGATAGAAAGAGGAAGCTGGTTCTCCAAGGCTGGTTGGAGATCAAGTTGAAAACAGAGCTATCATCTTGATGGGCTCCCCTTTTCTCCTTCAAAAGAACTAAGAGACCAGACCTTTAATTAAATGTTGCTATGAAGTGATTACTCTACTCAGACCTGCCAAGGGCAGGAAGGGAAGGCTGGGGGTCAGCAATCTCCCCACCTCCTTATAGACAGCTCATGTGCTGTTTGGGTAGAA